CTCTCCCCCCCCCTCCCTAACTCAATATCGCCGCAATCACACCTGACAAATAGATTCAGATCCACTGGCCAGCTGCACTCAGGACCTCATCAGAAACCCATCAATCATAAATATCATACACAGCTTTTCTTCCTCTCTTCACTCCTTACATTTTGAACCCAGCATGACCACTGAACCGCTGTCACGCCAGAGAATTTAGCTGCATCCTTCTCTGCTTGTTGGTGGGGTTCATCCAGCTTGCTGCCGTATGTGCGAGCATGCCTTGCATTACAGATGGGCTGCAAGATCCAATTTGTTTGTGTTGAGATGACTCCAATTCCTTTGCCACAGAACATTAGGGCTGCAAATTAATATCCCTGTGCTCCGTGGCTCACAGGTCTGTTTCCAGACAGGAGACAGGCACACTTGGATAATGGCAGATGCATGGAGAGAATTCTTTAAGACCTCTTTATAAACCCTTGTTCTCCCCTCCCACCTTTTTTTTTGCTTTTCCCTCATGGTTTCATCTGTCACCTTTAGAGACCTTCTCCCAAATGAGTTTAAGAAGGTAGAGGGCTCATCTACAGTGTCGTGCTCAGCGTTACAACATCTACAGTCACTCTTACCTCTCAGCAGACACTCGCAGGGAGGAGCGGAAGGGAATACAAATGAGCAATAATGTGAAAATAAAGTTTCGAGAAGCCCTAACTTCTATACAGCCGAGCCAGAGAGTGGTGGTGTTTACAGTTGCTAGATAGAAATAACTGGTGTATATCATCATACATTATACAGAATTTATATTGTATGTATGAAGTGTTTGTGTGCGTATGTTATGTTGTATTCAATTCTATCATTTTCTACATCGTTGAATTTGTTGTAATAACAGGAGAAATGTGCTGCGGCAATTTGGTTAGGCCTGCCATCTGTGAAGTTAAACGCTGATTATGCTTCTTAGCATAACATGCTGACATTAAATAAGGACTGTTATATCATTGATGCTCTGTGGTGTAAATAAATATAAATTTAGTTACAAACATTACAGTACATTATAGAAATAGTTAGGGAAATGTGTCTTTATGCTTTCTTGCGCTGTATGGTACATATGAAGCTGGAACAGGCAGGTAGTAAGCTTAACTTAACGTGAAGCCTGGAAACAGAGGAAAACAGCTAGCCAGGCTTAAAACAGTGTAAGAAACAACAATTGGCCGTTTTATTCCAAGCACATAAAACAGAGAATTTATATATTTTTTGTGAAAACAAAAGAGATTAATATACATGAACATCTTAATTAGTTTAAATATTTTATTATTCAGAGGTAAAGGTAGAGGGATTTTTTACCCTCAGACAGTGTCAGACTAGCTGTTTCCCCCTGCTTACAGTCTTTCTGCTCTGCTGAGCTTAGCTAACCCGTACAGGTACGTCTGTACAGCTGGCTCCAGCTATATATTTACTGTAAAGCTGTGGGAGTGTTTTTTTTTTAACCCGGCCTCTTTAACATACAATACATAATAACAATAACACCAATAATATGAAACAGCTGTAATTTTGGCAGCTGTGTCTCAGGAGGTAGAATGGGTCGAAGTGCCTTGAGCAAGATACTGAACCCCAAATTTCTCCTGATGCTGTGCATCAGTCTGTTAATGTGTAGGAATGGATTCATTTCTGTTTGTGGTGGCCTTTGCCATCACCGTATAAATGTGTGTGAATGGGTGAATGTGGCATGTGATGTACAGCGCTTTGAGTGGTTGGAAGACAAGAAAGGTGCTATACAAGTACAGTCCATTTACCATTTAATAGCTCTGTAAAAACAGCCCTGCAATAAGTGTTTTGAGAAAAGTTAAACAATATCAAAATAAATAATGTGTATCATAATCTATATAATAATGTCAATACCTTGAGTCTGTTATATATTCATGATCCTCAGGCTGAGGGTGTTGTCAAATAGCTGCAAAGTGGGCCAAGAGTCTAACCTTTGTTTTGTGTGTTTAATGGGGCTATTGCGGAAGAGCAGAAGGTTTGCATGCGGCATACTAAACATAACCACCTCAAGGTAAACAAAATAATGTGTTTTTTGGGCTCTATATCCCTTAAAGCCTGCAGCTGAAGGTAAGTTTAGCAGGTAAGGACATCAGTCACGTACACTCAACTATAGAATAGACCATACACAACACTGAGCTGCCAACTATCACGCTTTCGCCGTGTGACACACGATTTTGCCTGTTTCAACACGCACTCACGCCACACATCCAATTTATCACGCAAAAAAAATTTTCTTTTTTGGGTGAGAAATTCTGATCTTG